GTTTCTGTTTCAAATGAAATAGCATGTTCACAGTCTTGCACTTTGACCTCTTTGCTGCCATCAAAAGGAACAGATGCTGGCTTACTCGTGTCATCACTTCCAGCAAGGAAAGCTATCATCAATTTGCTTGACTCCACCATTGAAGCTGCGAATTGTGCATGTCTTTTGTGTCCCTGTGCTCCACTTTCTTTTTCGACAAAATAGGCTTAAAGAATAAATTAATAAATACTCACTAAACTATTTAGTTGCAACATGCAAATTGTCAGATGTAAGGAAGCATTCTACTTTCCTAAGTTCCTAACCACAAATTATATTCAAATTATACAATTATAGTTGCAACTCAGGGCTAGTTCTTGATGGTTTGTCTTGATGGCTGGATCATGTAAATGTTATGGTATGCATTTTGCTGCCACCCCCATGTTGATCTTCATCTCTTCTCCAATGCATCTCTTACAGGTTGTTGTGCATCTCTGGATGACTCCATGACCTCAGAGGTTTGTTTCATGTTGAGTGTACTTTCCAAGTCAGTATTCTGGAACTTTTGGCTGCCCGTTGAACAAGTTCCTATTTCCTACCTTGACTTGTGTGGATCACTTGGTTATGATTCACTCTGACAATTCTACAGTTGCTTCCTATATTAATCATTAGAGTGAGACTCACTCCAGGGACCTTTGCTTTCATATGTTGGACTTTCTGTTTTGGGCTCACTCACTATGGGTTTGTCTGCCTGTCATGTATGGGGAGCTTTGAACTTGGTGTAAATCATTTCTCTTGCCCACACAGGATTCTTCCTACAGAGATATCACTAAATCATCAATATTTTCACAACTCCTCTTAATTCAAAACTTCCTTTCATCTGGTCTACAGTACCTCACCCAGCTGCTCTGGTTGTGGATGCCCCCAGCCAGGAATGGTCTCATATCTCTCTGTATTTGTAATCTTAGCTACAACTTTATATATCCTTCTTTCACCTAGGAGTGTCATCCCTTCATCTTCATATGTGGAATTTGTCCAGTTCTTTGCTTATGAGTTAGGTTTTCCAGCCATGTAGCCCTTCTTTTATCTCATTTGTGTCACCCTTTTTTTCTCTATGTCAATCAATAACAATACCATTGATCCATTTGTCACTCTCTCCTACCAGGCCATCCTCTCGTATCCCACCCTTCAGCCTTTTTTCCCTCATTGTTCATCTGAGGATTCAGTTTTTTTTCCCATAGCAGGCTATCAGACAGTCTTGTTTACTGCTTTTCAACTTTTTTTGTTATGGTTCCATCATTTTCACCCCTATTCTTTCTGCTGTTTTAGTCCTTCCTCATTCTTTGTTCTCCTTCTCTATTTCAGTTGCTCAGCTGGAACCTTAATGTGGTTCTACATGCTCTTAAACAAGCCCCATTTAAACCATGGGCTTCTTGCTCATTATAACACCTCTCTCTCTCAAAACCTATTTCCTTCTTTTTCTTACTTGTAATCATCACAGATCTGACCATTATGTACTGGATGCCTCGTATACTTTGTTTCACAGATCATCCTTAATCCTGTTCCATGACTGATGGTTTCTTCTTGTAACTTCGGTGGTTTGGAGAGAGATTGTTCCTTTTCTCTCTCAATTATCTCATGTCAGTCTTGGTTTTCTATGATCATACTGATCCTGATAGTCTTTTGTCCATTCGAGATTCCCACAATCCTTTTTTTTGGGGGGGTGCTATAGAACCCCCTCTTCTTCAGGGTTTTCATGCCCTTTATGCTCACTGGATGGATTTGATGACTTCATTTGGATCATTTATTTCTCTCTGGATGAGGATGCAGGCTGTATCATGTCTCATCACATTAAATCTGTCAGTTGATGCTTTCTGGCCTCACAATTTCAACAGCCCTTGGATGAAATCTGTTCACCTTCAGGATATCACCTATTTTTAGTTGTCATTCTCCAGTTTACTTAACATCTAATGGACAAGTACATTTTTTACTTCCTTACCCATTTCTATTCTTTTATGACTCGTTTCTTGGAACCCACATTGAGTTAGGGTAACAGAAAATGTTAAACACATCTGCTGCAATGGCTTCTTATGTTCCCACTGTTAACATGGGGTTTTCTGCAAGACCACTAGAGTGGTTTGTGTGTGTGTATATATATATATAATGTATCTTCCATAGACTATTATGATAAAATCCAGCATTAGGGGAGTGTCTGTCCATTTCCCTGACTCACCAGCTTTTCAAATTAAATTTCACAGTAAACCATTGCATTTTCTCCAGTAAAAGACATTTATAACATTTAGGCCTAATCAAATTAGGGCACCTCTCTGGTGTCTCTCCAATGTAAATTCCTCTCTCCCTGGTTGTTCAGTGGAGAATGGGAGACCCTCACCACTTGCTGAGGTGGTCAACTTGAAGAGTTCCTCACTGGTTGTGTGATCCCTCCTGAGAGAGTCAGAATAGACTGCACAATGCAAGGGAATAGGGAAGGATGTGTAGTTAATGTAGTGCAAGTCACCCCTCTTATATAATATGCCAAATTCTCAGTGGATTGGCCTGCTGTATGAGGCAAGGTGTACTGCTCTTACAACAGGAAGAGACATTTGTCCTCATTTCTGTAATGTATGGTGAATAAATGATACAACAGGACAATACCAAACCTTACAGTTTGATCTCTGCATTAGCCACATTACTTCTCATTTCCAACCAGTAGATTGTGTGCAAATGTCTGTGCATTTTTCCACATCCCTGAGACACATTGGCTTTGCTTTCCTCATTTCATACTTCAATCTGGATCAAGAGATGGATGTGGTACACAAGAGTGTTGCTGCTTTGCTAAACCCCCACAATAGAGTCACACTCCAGGGCTTTCCCCTTCATTCATCTTTTCTGAAGACTCATTTAGGTTTTTGCAATTGCACCAGCCCTTCCACCCCATCAAAATGGGATTATAGCTACTGTGTGAAGAGAGGTAAAAATACTGTTTTAGAAGTTAACATTTTCCTTACCTGAAAATGTATTTCTGATAGATACTTACCTCACTGCACACTTTCCCATCCTTCCTCCCCACTTCCAGTGCACATTATTTTTGCTTTATCTAAGAATAATGTTAATTTTGAGTGCAATTGGTTATGAGCATTTATTGTGCATGGAGAATGCATCACCCTGCTATTGGTGGAAGACTAATTGCAGGATGATTATATCAAGTACTAGCACAGTTCTTGTAGAAACTCATGTGAAGAGAGGTAAATATCTATCAGAAACACATTTTTAGGTAGGGAAAATGTTAACATTCACAATACACATTTTCTCTGTAGCTGACCAATTAGAAAACAGGTACAAGAATGTTGAACAAGAGTGAAACAGAGTACAGTGAAACTGTATCATGAAACAATAAGTAAGTTCCTTGATATGTCAGTTTACAGAAAGTAACCCCTCAGGCTGAATTTAACATGACCCCAATCAGATTTAGGATGTTCCAAGTTAGACTGTAGAAGATTTCAAAATGTTTTGTGTATATGAAATACATGCTATGTCAAAGTAAGGTATATTGTAAAATCAGTTTGCTCTAAAATTTAATATGAATAAGTGATTAGAGGTTCTAGAAAAATGTGGTCCAGAAAAACTTGGTCCCAGGAAAATTAGCTACCAAGAAGAATTTCATTTGAAAATAAGAAGTTGTGGTCATAAAATAATTAACAATATCCATGCATTTTTATTGTAAGTCAATATTTAAAAAAATTATAAGCCTACATTTAAAAATTTAATGTCAAAATGCACAGTAATAGGGTTAAGTAAATGTAATTAGGTTATGTGTGATTGCCTTCAAAAAACTAATTTTATTGTTCTATTGTTCGATGTTTTCCCTTTTTTAAAGGTCTGTCACTACAGCAACCCTTGACAGAACTTTGGCTGAACTTGCAGCATGATTGTGCTGTCCGATGTAAGCAATAATTTCTGATATTGCTGTATCAGGCACTGTGATCCATCTGGGGACTGAATATTCTGGGACCAAATATTCTAGAATTGAATGTTTTAGACCAAATTTTCAGGACCTGGATTAGGGTTCTTTTCATGAATTGTAACTTGCAATCCTGCAGCATTTTAGAGAATGCTGTCTGTACACAACAGCAGTTTACTATTTAATATACAGCTTTGATTATATACTTTGAACCAAAACACAAGTTTATTAATTTTTGTCAAAACTAAGAACAACATTTATGTTATTCAGAGTCATTTCCTGTCAAATTCAGTTTGAATTATGCAGGAGAATCAAATTTGTGACTTTTTTGAAGGTGATCTTTTATTTTTTGTTAATTTTTTCAGAAATTTCTATGTGACAATTTCGATTTATGAACATGAAAACAATGTTATAATGAATGATGCAAGATAATCTCATGACTTTATTAAAATATTTTTAATGTCAACTTATGCAAGGTATTTTTTACTTAGAAATGTGTAATTTATATGCCAATGATTTGTTTTATGTTCAGTGCATTATTAAAAGTATATTGATTGAAATTTTTAGGAGAACTTGAAGTCTATAACTAATAGTATTTCTGAGGTTTTAAAGTTTAAAAGCCTAGATATATAATGTGTATTACTTTTGCCTGTTTGAAAAGTGCAATTTATTTTTAAATTTTGATTGTACTATTTAGTATATTGAATGTCATTACTTTTTTTACTTGTTGTTATTATTGCATTGTTAGCATAATGTATGTATTTAGGACTAACGTAAGTTTATTAAGCTGCCAAAATATCATGAGGTATTATTCAAATTATGGCTGAAAATATCATTAACAGTGAATGCACCTAACTGATGAAACAGTGTATTGCAACCTTTATAATAGAAGTGCATGTTTAATTAGCTATACTGATTGCTTGGTTGATTTGTAGTTTTGCTCTTAGTAATCAGCTTGCTCTTATAGGAAATTAATATTAATCATCTCCCCCCCCCCCAAATACTGTTTAATCTTTTTGAGGTTGTATTAGTTAACTTCAAGCTTTCATTTGTTATTTCACAGGGTTTGAGTGATTATCAGGCATACACAAAGTTTCCTGATATAGTTAACCAGCTACAGGATGTTATACGTGAGATCTCAGCAGGAACTGCTGCATTGGTGGCATTGATACTTAAAAATAAACTATATGTTGCCAGTGTTGGTAAGTCAAATATTATTTAAAATTTGTATGAGACAAACTGATGTGAAATCATGGTGGGTCTTATAAGTTTTTGTCATAAAATTTGCTAGGACTATCTTCATACTAATATTGGCACAAAAATTTCAGCCTGAGCATTGGAAACACTTAATTTGACCCCATACAAAATGTTGTTTTTGATAACATCAGCCAACAGCTGAACCTCCTGTTTTGTTTGACCATGTTCATATTTTGTGTAAAGCAGCTATTCAGATATCAAATTGAGCATTGCATCCTAGCACCAAAAGATGTGTAATATCTTTAGTAAAGATAAATTAATTGCATTTTCAAAACTGTCTACACAAAATGTTGTTCAAGTAGAGTTTATCTAGATGAATATGTAGCTAATCCATCAAATCGTTGTCATGATCACCTCCATCTAGTAATTTCTAATTCACAGTCAGTCTCATTGTGTTGTTCCCTTAACAACTTATTGAATGAACTGGACAATAATATCTAAAACAGTCTCCAAAAAAAATTATTATCCATAAAGAACCATTACCAAAATAATTAATGAAACAAAACTAAGGAAGTTATCATATGTAAAAACATTAAGCAGTCATAAAATAGTAACATTATTATCAACACAATTCATTGAAAAAGTCGGTGGAAACCTTGCCAAGCTATGGAACCAGGTATTAAAGAAAACATAACATCAACATCACTTTTTAATTATACAAAACTGGGATTAATATCAAGAATATCCAAGAAATTATCTTACTGTAAAACAAAATATATGAGTAATGTACATGACTAATTGCAGTTTATGTACTTATTCTTGTGTAGGTGAAATGAGGAGACACATGAACATCAAGCTCAAAAGACCATATACATTTAAACACCTTGAGAAATCAAAAATGTCATAACAAAAAACAATTTTGAAATTATATATCTGTATAGAGACTGCCCTTAACTGGTAGAAAAAATTTACTGAATAATTATCATTGTTAATTTCACTCCAAAGAGAAAGCAATTTTCATTATAATTGTTGTATTATTTGGTTTTGCTAAGATCTAGACCTTGAACTCTCTCTTCTCTAATTCCTTTCACTCCATTATAAGTCATAATTTTGATATTTTTGTTACTCAATCACAAGTCCCTACCACTTGTACCAGTCTTCAATCTGATTTAATCATTACAAGATAAAGTCAGATTTTCTCTTGACATTTAACATAGTCTACTTGTATTTCAATCCTTATGAGGAATTTGTGATATGATAATTTTCTGACCTTAATAATTTTGTTTCTTTTATTAATTTCTTATTACGTTTAGCTTGTTTCAATCTAGAATACATTGATGCCTATGATTTTTTTCTCATTTCCTTTCTAGTTTTTATTTTAGATGATAGACCAAGTATTACATTTAACATAACATATGGACACTTTTGATCTTCAAAGCAGTCCTAGCACTCCCTCTCTTGGGAAAAATAATAATTCAAACCCACATTTGATTTTTTAAGGAAATCATCAAATAATTATTTCAAACTTTTGATAACTTTCAATCTCTACTACTGCTGAAGGTAACCTCATTCTATAAGCCAATCATCTTTTACTAAACATACTTGGAGCTGAATTCAAAACAATATAAGTAAATAGAGAAGTTGGAAATTATGGTTTCTCTTTCTGTTAATGAGTATTTGTTAGTAGCATCGATGATATAAATTAAGAGATCTTACACTATCTTTATAAGATAACCCTTCCAATCCTGGAATCAGCTTTGTAACCTGCCTTTGAACCTTTTCCAATAAATCAGTATCATTTTTCAATTAAGATGTTCAAACTGTACACAGTATTGCAGTTGGGGCCTAACTACAGGTTATTAACTCTTGACTTGTAATAAGTTTGTCTATAAGTACACCCTAAATTTCTATCAGCTTTGCTCTAACAGCACTACTTTGCTGATTTGAGTGATTTTTTTCTACTAATGTGCCAAAGTTTTTTTTTCTTCAGTCACACTTTTGAGTAGATTCTCATCTATATTGAAAGTGTGATTCAAGTTATGATAATCCATATGCATTACCTTGGACTTGCTATAATTAAAGGTGATTTGCCAAATGTTCGTTTACCTTACCAATTGATCCAAGTTATTCCATAATACTTCAACATTCTTAATACTGCTAGAAATATCTAAGGGTTGAATTTCATCAGCAAACTTTACTAATTATGCCCATATTAATATCATTAATGTAAATAAGAAAGGGGAAAAGTCTAAGCTTTGAATCCTCAGGTACTCCACTAGTAACAAGAGTCCACTTTCATTGGACTCCATTTATAACAACCTTTTCCTTTTTTTCTCCAACCAATGACCCCACAAACCAAACTAATCTATCCTCAACCCTTTCCAGTATGGTCTTCGTAGTCAATCTTTGATGTGGAACCTTTATCAAAAGCTTTACGCTAAGATAACTTACCTCCTTTCACAGATATAGCTATTCTCATTCAGTGCTGCCCTCTATATGCAAATTTTTCGCATGCCACTAGCCTTTATCTCCTATGTTCTCCATGATCAACGTGGTTCAATTGCATCTTCCATTTAAATCATCATGTGACAACCCTCCACCAATAGAAGTGCAACACACCCTCCTGACGCAAGTGACTCGATTCTACCGAACTATCAGCTATCATTTGGCAGCGCTATGATCATGACATTTTTGTTTGTGCTCTCTTCCAGCATTTACAAAAAACTTTCATATAAACTGGGAATATTTTTCTATGTTTTTTCCCTAATTCACTTTTACAATTTTAAGTGATCACTTATTTTTATTGTTCTTTAATTTGTTTTTGGTTTTCACCAGAATTTATGTTTCCACCTAGAAATTGATCTCATTTACTTCTAGCACAAAGCTTCAGGTGGCAGTACTCAATGGAGGAATTTTCGGCTTTCATATGTCTGGAGATTGATCATTATATGTGTTGACCTTCATCAGGCCTTGAATTTGGAAATCCATACATTTCGACTATGGTCTGTCGACTTTGGACAGATATTCTGTTATACTGTTATAGATTTTGAATATTTTTTTACCTTAATATTATTATTTGTTGAAGAAAGCAATATATATATAACTTGAGTTAGGTTTGTAAGGTTAGGGTTTTCAATCAGAGCTTAATGATAACCTTTGTCCTACAATGTTAGATTAGGCTTAACAAGTGTTTTTGTTATTTCAGGTTAAACTGTCATTCATTTTATTGGTAAATTGTAAATTAGGTTATTTATATTGTTTTCTTCAACAAATACTTTTAAATGAATTTTTATTGTCAATACATACATACTTAAATGTACAGCATAAAGACTATTTCATCTTCGTAATTATTTATATTTTCTACATCTTACAATTAATTTGGTTTGTGAGGACCCCTAGGGCTGAGGTCTGTCCAGCCTTCTCCCAGTATTGCTTCTTTCTCCTAAAGGTTCATTTTGCCTTAGCTTATCATAAGGCTGATTGTTTTTCCTTTCTTGATTCTTTGCTTTGGGGGGGGTGGATCCTGATAATCTTATCTTTTTTTATCCCTCACCAAGTTTTCCAGCCTTTGACTTCCTCTATCAACTCTCCTACAGGAATTGTTCAGCATACTCCTCCTTTCTAAGGCATTCTACTTAATTCTTGGGGATTTTCATGAGATACCTTCCCCTTCCTTACCTCCACATTGGAGTGATTGATATCTTTGGCTCTTTCCCTACACATGTGGCTTCTTTGCTTTTGGGATCTTCTTGGATGGGATACTGTCTTGTACCAACTTCATTTACTGCCCATTTTCACTTGGGACTTATGGCCAGTTCTTTTCCTCCACTGGTCTGTTTTTTTTTGGGGGGTGTGTGCTTCTGTGACTTTAGCATCATGTGGGATATTTGTAATGCTCCATTTGATTTTTCTTTTTTGGTTGCTCATTTGTCTCATTCTGAGCCATTGCATTCTTTATTCATGTTCCATTTACTTGTGCTACCTCTAATGGTTCCTCCATTAGTTGTTTATTCTCGATGTTGATTGGAGTTCTGTGATTGATATGTCCCATCCATCTTCTTGATTCTTTCCCAATTTACTATGTTTTTCTTTATCACATTTCTCCAGGACTGAAGATGCTCAAGGTAGACGTTTCACATCCTTATAGCAATGTTCCTTTTTTTCATCCCTCGTGATGCTATCTTAGGTTTGTTCACCACAGGATTCAGTACTAGTTTCATACCTTACCCTTTTAACCCTGTTTCAGATCCATCAGTCTTTTGTCAGGTGGTCAGTTTTACCCACCTTCAGCATGATGGAGGATTGTACTTATACCACAACTTGGTTGTCTAACTTGTGTTAGCTCATTCCATACTGGAGTTGTCACAACATACTCATCCTCTTCTTACCCACACAGCTCAGGTGGTTGGGTTTTCTAGTTGAAGAAGTCTTTTCCATTACCTACCTAACATTCTTGTCTTTTATGGGGTGTTTTTTTCAACACTCAACTCCATCTGGCCCATATTTCTCCTCTTTGACTACTTTTAATGGTGCTTTCAGTTATCCATGCCATTACTGTTCTGTCATGTTGGGAGATGTGGCTTCTATGGAAGCACTTATCCGCTTTGGTCTGGCACACAAGCAATCTCTTCAGGGGATGCTCCAAAAACCATGGAATCTTGATAGGGTAACTTTTCTACTTCCCTCTTCGACAATATTGGTGGTTGAATAAAGCTCCCATGTCATCAAGACCACTCCATCCCTTTTGTCCAGGTTTGTTTCTCTTCCCTGATGCTTATCTCTAAAGTTGGGGAGCATGGATCAATCAATATGAGGTTTCAGGACAATGGTATATGTCTGAAAGATCTTATCATGTTGATGCTCTGGAACTTCTGGCAGTCCAATGTGCTCTGGTTTACTTTCTTCCTTTTGTCCAGATTTGACTAACCATGATTCATTCCAGCAATTCAATGGTGGTGGCTTATATCACTCAACAAGGGTGCACTAGTTCTAGTTCCCATTGTGGTCTATCTTGGATCTCCCATTTTTGGCCCACACACTTGATATACTTCTCCTAGCATGTCATGTTCTGTGTGTGTTCAACCTTGTTATAGATTTCCTTTCTAGTCTCAACCCACTTTATCCCATAGAGTGGTCTCTTGATCCTCAAAATTTTCCAGTAGCTCTAACTCTAGTGGGGTACTCATCAGTGGGATATGTTTGCCTCTTTCCTTGATTCCAAGTTGCTTCTTTTTCATTTTCAGTCTCCAGTTCCTCATCCACTGGCTTTGCATTTATACAGGATTGGGACAAGTTTATACCTTTATTTCATCAGTCCATCCATTATTTTCCCGGGATGATTTTGTTCATCCATGCTACTCTGTGTCAGATCTTTCTGATTGCTTCTTCCTGGCTGGATCGATTTTTTTCTAACCTACATTTTGGAGACTCATGGGGCATGTTCTTCCCTTTTGTCATTTTTCTTTCCTTCCATCTCCCACCTTTATTCCCAGTTAGATCTGGATGGCCTTCCATGTCCCATACGTGTTTTTGGTTGTTTAATTGACTTCAAGACTTCTTTCTGTTGGTTCCCTTTCCCACAGTTTCATTCCCTGGTACCACTTCTCTGTTCATGACTTTTCTCTTACCAGCTGGATTTGGTTTTTGATTTAATTGTTTTGTTTTTCTTCCTTGTCTCCTTCTTCCCTACATTTCTGGTGTCTTCACTCTGATCAGACACCTTACCTTTTACCTGCATCTCACACCCTTCGTACCTTGGAAGTACTTCTTCTATCACGTACTGGGACTACACTTCATAGGTTTATGTGCCATTATCTGCCTCGGATAGCTGTTTCTTCCTCATTGGGATACTGTTTTCCACCTGTCACCATCATTTACTCTTTGGTGAGACTGTGACTGGGTAAGTTACTTTTTTATATATGTACCTCTTCTTTTTTAGAGGTATGTCCCTTTTTTCTTTAAGGATCCCACTTTGTGGTGAGTAGTGCCAGGTATACTTAAACTAGTCAAATATGCACTGTAAGGCCATGATAACTTCACAATTATAACTTCCATGGCCACTAAATGCACACTATTGAGATGGGGTATTCCATAAGATCACTTGTAGGTTTTTCCTCATGATATACCTACTTCATTAATATGCTCATTTTGGACCGTACTAACCCATGGACTTCATGGGTAAAGCAGAAGGCAATAGCTGCCCATCTCTGCCATTCCTTAAATTGAATAAATCAGGAGTGGTCTACTTTTCAAAATAGGGTTTTTATGGTCACTCATTGCATTGTCTCTAGTATTGACATTTCTCTGGACTTTTGCACTACATTTTCTTCCCCCTTTTTCTTCCAGTCGGGTATGGGAGTCCTTACTGTTTTCCAGTTCCAGGTCACTGGGGTGGTAGACAATGGAGGTATCCTCCTGAATGTGATAGTGATATATGATACAAAACATAATTCATTAAGTTTGAGAAGGCCACTGGTGTTCTGTTAGTGTTTATGATAAAATGTTCTCGCATCTGATGCTCCATCTCTGAATGGGTCTATCTGAGGAGATGTTATGGCTTTGGAGTAAGCCATCAAAATTGCAGTTAACCCCATCAACTGAGATCCCTCAACCTACCCCCACATGGATGTCAGCTCCTAGTAACTGGGTTTTGGACTAAGAGCAAAACCAATCGACATAAGTCCTCACATATGTATTACTGGTGTCTCTGTTACGTCACTCAATTGACCTGCTAACATGTTGTGGGTCACTGTTGATGAACATGTGGGTTGCTACGGTTCTTACTCTTGCACTACCCCTCGAAGATTTTCATATATACCGAGGATGATACTGTATTGGTAGTGGTTCCTGTCTCATTGGTTTTCAGTATGATGTCACACAATACAGGGACATCTTGATTATTCCGATTGTCTTGATGACGGGTTCCTGGATCAGTTACTTATTCTAACTTTTCTCACATGTTTCCTGTTCACAGATTGGTGAGCATGATAAATCCTTCTGTTCTGCTGAATTTGAGGTGAAGACAGTATTATCCTCTTTCCTACACCCACATGGATGTCAGTTCCTGGTGGCTGGGTTTTGGATTGTAGTGGACTTGTCATGTATGGTCTGCCCCTAGCCAATCTACACTGGGGTACATCTTTTTACTCTCATCCTCATTATTGTCTCCCAAGGGATTGAGATTCCAATATCCTGTGGTTCAGATCCTTATCCAAACATTGCTCTCTCCCTTTTGGATGTGCTTCTTTCTTTTTCTATCCATGTTTGCAATACATCTTTCCACACTTGGTGTAAAGTATAACTGGTACAGATGTGGTGCAGTCTACCACATTGGATCCTCTACTGCGAGGGTCTCCACTGTTCAGATGCTCTTATAATATTCCTATATTGAAAACTTATTTCGGATAGGTACTTACCTCTTTTCACACTTCCCACCCTTCCTTCCCTCTTAAAACTGGTGCTTCAAATTTCTGCCAAAACTCAAAGTGATGGTTTGGTAAAATTGAATAGAAAAAGCCATGTCTCAGAATAGTGTGTTGCACTCCTATTGGTGAAGTGTTGTCACATGATGATTTACATGTGAGATGAAGTTGAAACATATTGATCGTGGAGTACATGGGAACTCAAGGCTTGTGGCATACAAAAAAATTTTTGCATATAAAGGGCAACACTGAATTAGAATAGCTATATTTGTGAGAGGAGGTAAGTACCTATCAGAAATACATTTTCAGTATAGGAAAATTATAAGATTTGAAAATATAAATATGCCAATTTCACACCCTTTCCTTTCTCCAGCTAACAAGAAACATTCTAAAAAAAGTTAACAGAGTAAGTAGTAAGACAAGACTGGCTTTATTTTATTATATCATACATCATTAAATAATTTTGTAAAGCTTCTTTTATCAGATATTAAAATTTTAACTACTACAAAAGTGTTTAATGTATGGTAGCATTGAAAGCTCTGATTTTTTAAATGTACATTTATGTATAATTATGTTCAAAAATTTACTATTTAATTTATAGAAAGGCTATTCTGTTAACAAAATCACATTTTTTGTATGTGCAGGGGACTGCCGAGCACTTCTAGTGAAGACTAATAGTGATGGATCTTTACGAATCATCCAGCTTACTACAAACCATGACATTTATAATGAAGATGAATTATTGCGATTGTCTCATCTAGGGCTAGACATTGAAAAAATTCGTCAAGGAAACAAGTTAGGCTCTCTACATAACACAAGATGCATAGGAAACTACATGTTGAAAGGAGGATATACTGAATTTGATTTTCTCAGGTAAAATAGTTGTTTACTAATATTTTATGATAGACTGATAATACATAAAATAAATACTTGGAGTATCATGTAATAGAAAGGCCAACCAGAACATTATATGTAGTGTGTGTATTTACATATACATACATAAAGGAGGAGAGACACAAATACAATATTAAACCTATTCATACCACATGGAGAGATTGCACTCTCTTGATTTTTATGTGAGACAATTTATACAAAGATAGTATGAGAGTTATCAAAAAATACATAGAGTGTATAAGTGTATAAACCTTAATTGTAACTTAAACATACAAAACATTTATAGTGTAATTTCTTCACTGAAGCAGGTTGTCTGTTTGGATCATGAAATGCATATTTTCAAAATGTGGATAAACTTTTTTATGTACATCTTGACTTATGAGACTTTTAATATACATTTCTCTTTGAAGTGCACGATTTTTTGTTCACATAAAAGACTTGTAACACACTACATGTACAAGATACTGTAACTTTTAATTCAAAAGGTTGTAATGTATTTTCTTAACTGATGTCATAAATATAAACAGATAAAGTTTTCATGGACAAATGTCAAATGTGAAAAGGTATGTAAACATACTTTTAATAATTTTTTTGTGCAATTGACATAACAATTTAATATTTAACCTGATCAGGACCATCTACTAACATTGTAAGAAGGTTATATAACTTTCATGAAATTTCTTTCCGAAGATAAAACTAGTGGATGAAATTGTTTGAAATTTGACAAGAACTTTCCTAAAGGTGTCTAGTTTCAGACAAAATAAAGTATTCAATTTTGAATTATTGTACTTTTTTCCACTAAAACTTCATTATTTATTGTAGTTACTTGTACTCAGACTCTGAAATACCCTTTTTTGCCTCACAGTTTTCAAATTTCATTTGCATTACCTATAAAATCTAAATGAATATCAAAAGTTTTGAAGGTAGATTTTTTTTATTTCATTTTTCATCTTCTCTACCATATAACTAACAGTAGCTATTATCATCAACATACAGTACAATGAAATGTTTAAAATTAAGAAATGGAAATATGTACATACCTTTTAATTCATCATTGAATAATCTTAAAATATTTTTTTTGGTCACATGCATAATTTCATGTTTTTGTCTTTTCACTGATAGTTTATTTTTTATGTTTTATTTTACTTTTCTGTTCTTTACCGTTGATTATTTATGTTGACTTACTTCAACAGGTGCCCAGGGGCTATATAACAGTATCATCAGAAGATATATTTTAACTTGAAGTTTGACAGTAATCAGCTTATAAATATAGAGACACCTTCAACACTGACATATATTGAACAAAAATAAGCCATTAGGAAAAACAAATGAAAAAAGTTCATGTACATACTCTAGATGAAAAAACCTCCTAAAATGTTATAAATGAGAAAGTAACATGGCCCCGTTAAACAGATTGGATATGTGATGAAAGTTCTTAACACAGATATATAAGATATGCAGAAAAAGAACATCAATAAAACATACTAGACAACATACAAATATTAAATCTAAAATATATTCATATTTATGCATGCATATACACACACAACATTAATAAAGTAATATACAAAAATAAGTCCCAGGTCCTACTCCCTTTCCCTCCATTGAGGCTGTTTATTGATAACTGACTACTGTTGTTGTCTTTATGGTGTGTGTAGATGGTTTTGACCAGGGCATATGCATATCTGCCAGCTCAGATTGCAAGAAGCAGACTGTGATGAATGCATTGCCTTCTGCTACAAGCAATAGCCTTGGCCCAACAGACTGCCATATTTTGGCCGTATCTTTTGAGTAGTGTATCTTTTGCATTCTGGAATGATTGGTAATAGCTTTGGGAAGAGTGGTTGGGAGTGTACTATTAATTGCTACTTGATGGTTTCATGGGATGTCTTTGTTGGTGGTGATCTAACTTCTGCAGAGGCTCCCTGCTTCATTTTGATCATGGTCAAGGTGGATGCTCCCTTATTGGGTTTGAAGATCCTCACAATCATTGATAGTTGTGGTGTTGCCACAGGCAGTGAGGCCTTCTTAGCTTGCTGGCTGTGGCTTTTGATGGTGATGTTTACTGCCATTGTTGCACTGGTGCCTCTCAAGCTGCAGTAGACATTTTATGCTTGCTATCCTGGAACTCAACTAATGCTCTGGGTGACCTTAACTCCAGTTAGATCTTTGGCTTTGGAATTTAGTAGTTATGCCATAGATTTGTGCTCATATGTTGCCTTCTTTTTTCAGTTTCAAACATCTCCCAATGGAACACCTCACTAGAGGTGCCAGGTAATGATGTGATTTTTACCATTTCTTCTTTTTGAACACCAATGTTATGGAAATTGGTTGCTATGGATGAATATTTTTTAGGTTCAATTCAACCAGTGTTGAGGTAGCTCACAACTCCACCAGTGTTTAAGCAGCACTCGGCTCTTTTAAAGTGGTCTTTAGTACTCTGTATTATAAGGACTGGGACTCTGGAGGTAAAAGTCCTTCTGACCAGGGCTCTCCAACCACTAGAGAATGTACAGCCAACCCGACTAATAGTGAGTGACAGCAAGCAACTCATCTTCTACAGTGGGTTCTACTAGATAGAAGTGTGATCAGTTCAAGGAATACTCAGGTTAGCAGGGAAGTCCAGCTTCTAAACAGAAAATCTTGAGTGTAAGTTTGGTCATTGTGATTTCCTCCTTCCATAACAGCTTGAAATACTGAAGCTTCACCACATAAAATAATGAAATCTCCACTGCCTAATAGAAGATAAAGATAGCCAAAATTGTCAAGAACTTGATCTTAACCCTATCACGACAAGTCACATGTCAAAGACCAAATTTTATTGAACTACTATTTTATGAATTTGTGTCAATAAGTTTGGTATCAAATTGTAGATTATAATTCAAATTTTAGTATTATCTGTTAGTTAATATCTTAATTTAAAAGTAAATATTTAAAAAAACACAACTGAACTTTAATTTTTGTGTGTCACGTGGCATGTTGAATACAACACTGATTCAAGTTAGATGTTTGTGATGTCAAAATACAAAATCTACAGTTTCATACGAATTAAGAACTCAAACTACCAATATTAACAAGCTAGAATATAAAATAAGAACCTCTTGTCTTTTCTATTTGATAAGATATCACTCATGTTCTGAATCAAACACAGTGACCCCCCCCCCCCTGCTCACCTCTTACCATTTTTGGAAATGGTACCTTATATACATTTACTTCTGTATATGACCTGAATCTCCAATAGAAAGCTCAGTATGTCCCTTGAGTGGTTTTCTCAGCCATTTTGACATGTTATTGTGTTAATTTCATTATTTCAACTGAGTTTTTAACACTTAGCTATCATTATTAGTCATGCAAACTGTTGATGCATTAAATATTAAATATACTAGTACCAACCATTTCAAATTGTGTTAGTTGAGAAGCTGTCATCCAATATTCTATGGATATCTCTTAAAAATAAACTTTGCTTTATACCTCAGAAAGAAAGAGTTTTGGGTCATGTTACTCTGGAAATCAACAAATCGTCCTAACTTTTGATAATTGAAAGCTAGTCATACAGTATAGTGCATACATTGTAACTTATCATACCATCCCATAGATCAGAAATGCTACTTTTTTTCAATCATTGTTTCTCAACCATGTGTCTCCCTTGATTCATAATGATTGAGTTGTAATCATACCATATAGTGCATAAATTGTACCTCACAGTATCACCTGGTAGTTTTAGAGACAAGGAATGCCACTTTTAGTCATTGATCTTTCAACTATGTGATTATTCTAGGTGAATGATGATGAAGTTCAGTCACAGCAGTACTGAATGTGAGGTCATAAGTAGCAGTGTGATCAATTGTTATAGCTGTCTCACATCTCTAGATCTGATGCTCCCTCATCTAAATCATTTTAACAGCCACATAATTATTCTCAGCTGCTTCTGTCTCAATGAACTCTTCTAATGGCTCTTGACCAAACCAGTTGATCAGTCATGTATAGATGTTGCCTGTCAATGTGCACTTGACTGCCATAATTCATACATCAATAAACTGACTGGTCAGAACACAAGGTGAGATCCTGTCCAGTCAGAACAAAAGACACTTTCATGCTGATGGCATGCATCAAAGCCACACCTGATCTCCATTCTGCTACATTTGTTCCTTAACCATCTTGCTATGGGTAGGTTAAAGTGCACAGGTCACAACTTTTGAGAGTTACATTCACAATTTATTAAACTACTTTATTATCATTGTATATGAATAAACTAGACACCAAAATGTTGTTAATAAATCAAGTTTTTATATACGTTTTAAGTTCTTAATTTGATAAGAAAATATTTTTTAAAATTCTCAATCTCCTCTAATATGAAAATTGTGGTATTTGTTCTGTTTCTTCCCTCTTCTCTAATCTGTTTAACACCCCTCTGAGAAGTTCAGAATTTAATGTGAATTACTCATTGTAATATAAATATTACTAAGGCACGTGAATAAGTAATATACAGGTGCACACCCTCAGGGTCCACTTAATATTGGTGCAAAATTTCAAGTTTCTAGGTTCTTTCTTCTTGGGTCTAGGGCAGTCACAGTTCTTTTCTATGTGGTTTTTTTGCTAGCTTGCCTCATAAAAAGATGTGCAGGCACGTGGATAAGTTATAATACCCAGTTACACACCCTCGGGGACCACTTAGCATGGGTGCAAAATTTCAGGTTTCTGTGTTTTTATCTCTTGATGCTGTGGTGGTCAGACATACACAGACACACACATGTGTGTCTGTATGTTTGTGAATTATATTTGTAATATAAGGAACCACTTCTTTTTTTATGTGTTTTTTTTGCAAGCTTGTCTCATTAAAAAGATGCTTTGCTTGGGTTATTAGGTTGATATATTTTAGATGACTATGTCAAAGTGTGTATTCTGAACCTGTTTTACCATAGAAGAACAGTCAAAAATATTTAAAAAATTTAATACCCTGGAACATGAAACACTTTGTT